AAAAAAAGAAAAAAAAAAGAGGTGGGAAGATGCTGAAGTTAAAGGAATCTAAATAGGCTCTTATTTTGCAGGACTTATCAGAGCCTTCACTGTTCTAATCCATGGGGGCTCCCTATGCTGGATTACCCATAAATAGTACTGATAGCTAACCTCTGTTAGGTGTGCCAGGCCCTACCCTGAGTGCCTGGCCTAGATGTATCAGTTCATCCTCATATCAGACTTGAGCTGAGTGCTGTTAACCCCATTTTACAGTGGAAGGCATAGAGGGAAATGGCTTGCCCAAAGTTCCATGACTCCCAGGTTGGTAGGCAGGGACTCACCCCTGGCCACTCTGCACTATACCACATGTCCGGCATCAGCAAAGCACAAACGCAAAGTTAATGTTTAAAATCATTTGACATTTGATTATTTTAATTTGCCATATCAAAGGAGTTACAATGAAACAGTGAAACTTTTGTGGGCTTTTATTACGGTGACTTCAGTATTGTTTATAATTTGAATTCCAAGTGGAACTATGTCACAGTTCTTTCCAGTACTGAAGGGTTAAATGTGCCACTACCTCCTCTCCAAGAGTGGCCCTACTGTGTGGGGTTTCCCAAGACAATTCTTTGAGGAACATGTTGTAGGGTCAGGGGTCCTTGTGGGCAGCACTGTGACAGGCTGGGCCAGAGGACCCTCAAGGTCTGTCCCATCCTAAGATTCTCATCCTCTATCTGATCAGCTGCTCTCTGCGCCCCTGACACAAACGAAGCTCAGCACTTATTTCCTGGAGTGTGGGAAAAGCAGAGCAAAAGAAGATTCTGGCAAGGGGGTCCTGCCTCTGGCCCAACCTCCCTGACCTTCTTTTCCAGATTAAAGACTGGGATCAGCAGGGCCTGATGCCCCAGGTTCTTCGGTACCACATGGTTGCCTGCCAACAGCTGCTGCTGGAAAACCTAAAATTGATCCCAAATGTTACCACCCTCCAAGGCGAGCCACTCACCATCTCTGTCTCTCAGGTAAGAGCTGCCACCTGGGGAAGGCTCCAGCTTTTATTGGGTCCTCCGGCACCTCCTCCTCCTCCCTAGAGTGACAGCAGCAGTAACTGCTGATTTTACATGCTGGTGCTTACAGGTCTAAGGATTTTATATACATTGTTTCATTCCTTCCTCAGCACATATCCCCATGATATAAATACCATCATTGTTTCCAGTGAGCTCAGAGAGGTTAAATAGCTTGTCCAAGATCACACAGCAAAAAAGAAAAAGAAAAATAGGTTAGAGCTGGAATTCAGACTCAGATGCAGGGCAGCTCCAGGCAGGCAAGAGGAATAAAGCAGAGGGATGCTGTCAAGGACACACAAATAAGGGCTGGAGAGATGGCTCAGCAGTTAAGAGCACTGGCTGTTCTTGTAGAGGACCCTGGTTTGAATCCCAGTACCACATGGCTGCTAACAACCATCAGTAACTCCAGTTCCAGGGGATCTGATGCCCACTTCTGTCCTCTGCAGGCACTGCATGACATGTGTGCACTTACATACATAACACAAATACACATAAAATAAAAATAAAATTTTAAAAAGAACACACGTTAAAAAGATGCCAACTGTGAGCTGCTTATTCATGTTAACTTTGAGGATTGCATTGAAATGGCCATTTTGGTTGATTATATAATATTTGATGTTAACTTCACCAGGTGGAAATTACACTCTCTTTTCTTTTTTGAATCATAATTAATAATGTGCTTAAGTAGCTGGAGCTTCGAGCTCTGCTCCTCATAACTTAGCACACAAAGAAACATCCCATGCCAGGTGTGGTGGCACCCACCTTTAGTCCCAGCACTCAGGAGGCAGAGGCAAGTGGACCTCTGTGAGATCGAGGCCGGCCTGGTCTACATAGTGTGTTCCAGGCCAGCTGGGGCTACAGGGAGAGCCTGTCTCAAGTGTGGAAAGACTTCACAATGCTCATCTCTTCCGCTGTCTTCACTGTCTTAGGGTACAGTATACATAAACAATAAGGCGAGGATCATATTCAGCGATGTCATCAGCACAAATGGAGTCATCCACATCATAGACAAACTGCTGTCGCCCCAGAACTTGCTCATCACCCCCAAAGATGCCTCAGGCAGGGTTCTGGTAAGTAATCTCACTGTCACTGTCACACTCACAATGTGTGACACCTGTGCCATCAGCTCACTCTGATTGAGGCATCATTGTGAAATGCTGTGATTCACCTGCTTCAAACCTGTTCTTCATCATAGATGAACAAAGGTCTGGTTTGAATCGGTATGTGGATTTTAGCTGGGGACAGTGATGCACCTGTAGTCCCTCCTACTCAGGAGGTTAAGGCAGGAGGATCACTTGAGCCCAGGAGTTTGGGGCCAGCATGGACTCTGTCTCATAAGGAAAAAAAGTAAATGATTTAATAAGATTTTCTTTAGTGTCCACAAGGGAAAGTGGTCTTACATAATTTTCGAGGAGGAAGGGAGGGGAGGGGGAGGGGAGGGGGAGGGTGGAAGAAGGCTTGGGGGGAGGGGAACGGAGGGAGGAAAATGACATTTACATATCACAGGAAAACAATTTCTTATGAGCGAACAGAAAGAACCATTTTAACTTTTGTTTATTTCTATGGTACTAGGAATTGAACCTACCACTGAGCTACATCATCAGACTTTTTTCTACTTTATATTTTGAGGCAAGGTCTCACTAAGTTGCCTAGGTTTGCCTTGAACTCACTCTGTAGCCCAAATAAGCCTTGAACTTTCCATCTTCCTGCTTCAGCATCCCGAGTAGCCGGGATTACAGGCTTCAGCCACGAGGCCCTGCTTACCTTTGATTTTTACCTTTGATTAGTATTGGCCACTGTCCTTCATTGCAGACTGCAGAATCCACTTATATCTCACTTCCGCAGAAAAGAGTTTCTTAAGGTATTCTGTGTACATCAGATCTCTTCAAAAGCCACAGTCTAATTTCAGTGCTGTAGAACTGAGAACAAAGCAGTCCAGGGAAGCCTGAAAGAGAGAAGGCCTAACTTCACCCTAAGGCCATTCTGTTACTGCTCTCTATAAATTCTGCCTCTGGCCTCTCCACCCAGGGCACTGGAGACTGAACTGCTCACATCCCCACCATTGTTTCAGAAGGTCTGTGTCCCTTCTAGCACTTCATGTCACTCTTTGCCATCAACAAACCTTCCACAGTGCTTTAGTTTGGTTGTCCCTTTATTACCTGTGTGCTGCGAGGGAGTCTAGAAAATGTAGTACCCACCCTTCCAGCCTCCGGAAAAACCTAGGCAGAGGAAGGCTGCCATGGCTGGTGACCCAGTGGCCAACTGCTGCATTACATACCCATTGTATTCAGTTAAGCTTTTGTTCCCCATCCTGATAAAGTGTATGAAGCAGGCATGTTCCTCCTGCAGATGTGCCCTAGGATAGCTAAAAAATGTGGCCCCCAAATAGTAAACTTACTTGAAATATAATGGGGGGTTTTGTGTTTATAGCTAGATCGTGC